GAGCAAAGCAGAAAAGGAAGCCTTTACGTAAAGGAGTGAGTACGGAATTTAGCCAGCACTAGTAAGATACATTTTCTTGGGTGTTTAGAATTATTCCTTATGATCCAGGAGTCGTACGATCAAACTCGTCCAAAGCAGGTAAAAGATGTTTCTGATAGTTCGTCGCGAAAGAGTAAAATTATAGGGATCTGTTAGAGAGCATCTTTTAAACTTGGATGTAAAGTTGTTCACATTTTGATTAGCAAGCAGGAATCACTCTTCGTCTTGCAAATCCTTAGTTTCATTGATATCAATGGTGCTCTTGCGCAATAGCAGAAAGTTCGGAAAGTTGAGTTTACAGTTTGGGTGTCCTGTGGTGTGCACGAGAACTGCGCCTCTGTTAAACAGTTAATCATTAACTGTACCTCGATATAACAAACATTTCGCTTGTTTTCCCAAAACTTCGTTAAATCAAAGTTTTTGATGGAACGAAGCATCGATATAACGAACAAATTTCCCCATTCCCTTGGCACTTCGTTAAATTGAGGTTCCGTTGAAGTCTGGCTGCTAAGTTTTTATCACGGCAACTTTGGAGATTTAGCGGTAACGTTTTCGAAAATCCGACTAGATGTACATTAGACATTTCGGTTGAGCGGAAATCAGCGATCTTAGCAGATGCCCTAGCCTCCAAAGCAGACGTTCTTAGGGGTTCGTCACGCGTTCCTGTCCCACTAACGACGTTAGTGGGGCTACGCATTCCCCAGCAGGTTCGACACAAACATAGCGAAGGTCTTGATGCGAGGAATTTGAAAAGGATTGTCAACAATTTGCAACGGAAAACCTGTTTGTCATCCGAGCTATTGGCCAAAAATAAAAGGAAAAAAATGATAATAATTTTGGAAGAAAAAAAAAATTGGAGAATCCGGGTATCGATCCCGGTACCTCTCGCATGCTAAGCGAGCGCTCTACCATTTGAGCTAATCCCCCGGAGTGGCTAGAAAAGTGTTTAAATTAGATTGATTTTCTTGTTCTTTACAAGCGTTCTGCGTCTATGCAGGGATTTTAAGTCATGGCTACTGCTAATGGCTGGAATACATTGTTAAAACAGTTTAACAGTTTAAAAATTCGTAAGATAATTATTTAAAGTTGCTTTGTTTTCCCGTTCAAGGTTTTAATAGAGCGTTTATAAACATGTACTGGCGTGCGGCGATTTGCATAACTAGAGCAAACAGCGATACGCCATTCTCTGCGCTTGACGAAAGCCAGTAACAAAGGAAATAGGACAGTAAGAAAACAGATTACAGAAAATCTTCTTGGGTCTTTTTTTCACGAAAGCCGAGGAAGAACTTCCTTTAGATTTTTCGACTTCCCAACACTGTTCTGACTTCCGACTTCCGGCTTCCGTCTAAAAAAAATAGGAAACCTCTCCTCGGTTTTCCGTCGTATTTTTTTTGCACTTTTCAAACTATTTTCTCTATTTTCAAGTAAAGTTAATAAAGTAAGATACATAAGGGGTGGAAACGTTTCTTGCCTTTGAATTCCAATAGTTCTCAAGAAAACTCCCAATTAAAAAATTAGTTTAGCTTTGAGAAAGAAGCGGAGGTTTCATGAATCCCTACCTTTGTTCCGGGATTTCGGATGTTACTAAAACGGGGAACGGGGAACGGGGAACGGAAGTCTGGGAACGAGTTGTCAGCGGAAACCTCCACAAAAATCCAAAATGGCGGTCCAAAAAACGAGAGAGAGAAAGAAGACGACAAAGAAAGGAATTCGTGCCTTGGTTGAAATCAGATGGGGACGAAATTGCAAATCAGACTCACATTTTACGTTTACGTTTTGAGCAGGTGGTATGTTTTTTCGATATCCAACCTGTTTCATTTACAATATGATAAGGTCTTAGGTCTTAGTTTTCGAGACACCTGGCACACTCACATTACTCCTGGATTACTCCGTTTACTTTAGACCGTCGCTTAATCCTGCCTGTTTATCCCTCTGAATGTTCTTTTTCCCACTCAGACAAACTCTTGGAGAGTAAAGGTTTTATCCAAGCCCATTATAGCGGAGCTCTCGCGCGCGAAGCGCGCTGCGGAGCATCATGGGTAAGAAAATGTGGTAAACTACCCATCCAAGAAAATTTGGTAATCACGTGACCGTACACCGAGCGAGCGAGCGACCGTCCGTCCGCACCACAGGCATACCAATGTAAAATAACTCAATCTTGTTTTTTACAATTTTTTATAACTGGGAAAGCTTGTTGTTGTTGTTAGTGTTATATTAAAGTCATTGGGTGATGAGTTATGAATCGTTTAAGGTCAGGGTTTGGCATTGAAAGCAGGGTTAAGCACTGACTTCAAGAAGGTGGTGGAAAAAACACTGACCCCCATTCCATGAACTACCCCCAATGACTACCCTAAAATGGACTATGCCACTGAAGTTAAGTGATTAGGGTTAGGAAACTGAGTGAATCGGGTTCCATTTAGGGTCCTTATACTGGGAAAACTGACCTAAAACTTCATTCACTCAGTTTCCTAACCCTAATCACTAAACTTCAGCGGTGTAGTCCATTTTAGGGTATGTCCATAAAGTGTGGGTCAGTGTTTTGTCCACCACCCTTCAAGCATGCCAAATAATACAGAATTCAGCATGTACTGGCACAGATTAAGGAAAAAAGAGAAACCAAAAAAATGAAGGTGCCGTGAAAATAATTATGATTTAGTTGTGCTTGGTTTTAGTGATGCATATTCACTATTGTATACAGTGCTTTTCAACACGTTTTGTGAGTGTAGTTTACATTATAAAATCATCACATTTTCTTAGTTTACTTTAGAATGAAAGAGTCCGAGGCTAAGTTTTAAAATAAGCCAAAAGAAATGGGATATGCTAATTGCTTATCCAGATTGCACCATGTTATTGCCTTACATGAGGTTGTTTTAACAGCATATCAAAGATCAAAGTAAAAGAAAATTTAACTCTTCAAGTCCCATGATCGACCGAAATCGATTTTCTCGAAACAATATCAATACATTATCCAGAGGAATGTTTATGACAAGTAATGAAATAGTCACCAAAGGGAAAATGCTTTAATCTTCAACCAAATTCTGTCATATAAATCTTTAAGGAAATGTAAAGAAACTTGTCTGAAACAGTTTAAATTCCTAAGTGGCCGCCTAAATACTTTTGACACTTCTTGAAGGGTGGTGGACAAAACACTGACCCACACTTCATGGACATACCCTAAAATGGACTACACTGCTGAAGTTTAGTGATTAGGGTTTAGGAAACTGATTGAATGAAGTTTTAGGTCAGTTTTCCCAGTATAAGGACCCTAAATGGAACCTGATTCACTCAGTTTTCTAGCCCTAATCACTTAACTTCAGTGGCATAGTCCATTTTAGGGTAGGCATTGGGGGTAGTTCATGGAATGGGGGTCAGTGTTTTGTCCACCACCTTCTTGAAGTCAGTGCTTAACCCTGCTTTCAATGCCAAACCCTGACCTTAAACGATTCATAACTCATCACCCAATGACTTTAATATAACACTAACAACAACAACAAGCTTTCCCAGTTATAAAAAATTGTAAAAAACAAGATTGAGTTATTTTACATTGGTATGCCTGTGGTGCGGACGGACGGTCGCTCGCTCGCTCGGTGTACGGTCACGTGATTACCAAATTTTCTTGGATGGGTAGTTTACCACATTTTCTTACCCATGATGCTCCGCAGCGCGCTTCGCGCGCGAGAGCTCCGCTATAATGGGCTTGGATAAAACCTTTACTCTCCAAGAGTTTGTCTGAGTGGGAAAAAGAACATTCAGGGGGATAAACAGGCAGGATTAAGCGACGGTCTAAAGTAAACGGAGTAATCCAGGAGTAATGTGAGTGTGCCAGGTGTCTCGAAAACTAAGACCTAAGACCTTATCATATTGTAAATGAAACAGGTTGGATATCGAAGAAACATACCACCTGCTCAAAACGTAAACGTAAAATGTGAGTCTGATTTGCAATTTCGTCCCCATCTGATTTCAACCAAGGCACGAATTCCTTTCTTTGTCGTCTTCTTTCTCTCTCTCGTTTTTTGGACCGCCATTTTGGATTTTTGTGGAGGTTTCCGCTGACAACTCGTTCCCAGACTTCCGTTCCCCGTTCCCCGTTCCCCGCTCCCCGTTCCCCGTTTTAGTAACATCCCGGGATTTCGCGGGGCTGTTATGTAGTAATGCCGCGAACTGTCAGCTGGGGTTTCTTGTGTTAGCAAACTAAAATACAAATTGTTGCACCGTGTTGAATGACTGATGACCATAATGAATAGGTTTCACTTCAGTGATCTCGCATCATCATCAGACAAAATCTTATGGTCAGTGGCCATATGTTTTCGTCGACGGAGCTTTTACTATTAAACTCAAACATTTAATAGAACGGAATGCATATCTCCATGATTGCTGACCCTGCGAAGAGAAAAAGTTTTTCAGAATTTGCACTTTTCACTGGGTCGTTAATGCTTTGTTACTCATTACATCATTAGACGGTTTATAAAAGTATTCATTTTTGTTCCTTTATAACAAAAGTTCGTTATTCTTTTGATGAGGTAGTACTCTGAACACTCATTTTATTGTAATGAAATGTGAATTGTTGCCTAATTCAGTTTTGACCTTTAAATGAAAAATGAGTTGAAGCGTGGCTGAGTTTACTAGAACAGTTTTGAAAACATTATTGGTGTACGAATGGGCTAAACGGGCTTCAAGATATTTGATCAAAATTTCGCTGACAAATTCAAGTCAATGTTTTGGAAAACTTGACTGATGAATTAATATACAAGGGAATAGAGTGTATGGCTGATTTCCTTGTACTCAAGTTAGAAGAAACCAGAAGTTCAAATGTTTCAAATAATCACTTTTTATACGTCTATTAGCAAATTTCAATATGAAAAGAATATTACGTCATAGCCCCATGATAGACGTACGTTGCCGATAATTATCGAGGTTTTAATTGACCGAGGTGTCAATTAATACGATTGTCAAGTACCATCCAGCCGTCAAAATGAAGTACAAACAAGCTTTGATTCGGAACAGCGTATGTAAAATTAAAAAAATAACTTTGTCACCTAGTAAGCGGATTTCTATTGGAAGTCGCGAAAGGAGGTTTATCGAGAAATAAATCTTGTGCGATGGCTGCATCTCCAGGAAATATGTACCAAAAACAGGCGTTAAAAAAGCGACAAACTGCGTACCTACAACCTTCTTCAGGATCTTTGTCTAGAAACGATAAACAAAAAGCAGAAAAGGACATTCCTTTACATGTTCAACCTCCTTCGAGCCCGAAGCTCAATCGTTCGCCGAACAACATGAGAAAGTTTAGTCAAATATCATTACGTTCAGACTCTTCGGGTGACCAACACACAGATGCCAATGGTAATGCCGCAGCAATTACTGGCACTCCTAATAAACACGCCCGTTTTAAACACCACCAGGTAAGATACGGAATTTACAGACCGCCCTAAACGATTATCAGACTTCTGCGAGGTAAGTTTTGAAGATTGTGACATAGTGTCTTTTGAAAGAGCGAGGCATTATTGACTTTAGTATTAGCATGGGCAATCAGAGGTTTCATGCCGGTATTACATCGAATAACATGCACATATTTTCTATTGAGAGACAATGAAGAAAATTATCGAGTGGTGGTATTAAACTAAAAGTGAGGCTCAGTTGCGCATTTTAGATAACGTTTTCTTTTTATGAAATAGAGGTCATTTAAAAAAAACTTCCAGTTCCAGAGCTGTATAGCGGGTCACGTATAGTCGAAAATAAGTAATTTAAGATTTCATGTTCCTTTCTGCGATCTACCCTAAATAAACAAGCTTTGCTATAATAAAGTCAATCATAAAGCTTAACGCTCTATAAATTTAAAGCCCGGCTTAAGGAAAGCATTTTGCTTTATGTACGGGCGATATCGTTACATCGTAAGGGTGTGTATTTGAAGGGACTTTTAGTCTCAAGTACGATGCTGAACAATTACTTCGCATCCTACAGAAAGCTGGTAAAATTAATCTAGTTTTTATATGTACCATATAGACCTTAGAAACTGAAATCGTAAATATGCCGTGTTGTCGGACTTTCAGATGTAAAAATTCTGTAATGACGGGATGAACATCCTTTGTTTGCAATTACGTTCCGCTGGCTTGATAGCGACATGTAATTCCACTGAAGTGCATGCAACAAGTTCAGCTATGGCTCTTAACGACATTTTCAACTTTCACAAAGTGAGACAGCTTTAACTTATTTAAACTCCTTAATAACAAGTCGCTTTACGGAGCAATGACTGTCATCAGCTAGTTACTCACGAGTTCGAGTCGATAACCTGAATGAAAGGCGTCTGGACAAATCGAGGGGAGTGTGAGTTCATACTGGGTCACTGATCAAAATTTCCTCTTTTTGTATTAGTTGATATTCTTACCTCTGCCTCATCTCATCCCTTGTCTGCCGCTGTAGGCGAACGATCATACGACACAGCCATGCCCCAGTTATTTCCCCTAAAGCTTTATTAAGAATTAATTACCAAAACACATAGCAGGTTGGAAGTCGTTATGTAAAGCTTCTTTGTTTGTTTTCACCTTTAACAGAAAGCAGGCAAGGGAAACAAGCTGCAAAAATTACATCTCGCCGCTTTATCAGGAAATGAAGGCGAGGTTCAAAAATTGCTTGGAAAAGGAGTTGGTAAGTAAAATCCAAACACTATGAAGTGCACTTAGTGTTCGAAGTTAAGGCGTTTCTTTATTGTTGTTGTTTTGCTTTGGCCAGTCTTGAAGTATTTCGCTGAGATATCGCACGAAATTCTCTCTCAAATGTTTCATATAGCTTCTATAATAATCAATGATTATTAAAGAAATTCAAAGCTGACGGTAGCTTTAGTATGCGATATCCAAACGCGCTATCCCTCACGGTTGTGGATTTTGCTTTCTCTTGATGAATTAAATTTATTTCTGAAAGAAACGACAGCTTATGGCTTATGGCCAACAAAGCATTCTGACTTCGGTGTCATTGTACATTCGGGACATGTAAGTTCTCTAGCCATGAAAGCGAGGCACAAGGCGTTTGCTCGTTGTAACAAGAAATTTAGGGGAAAAAACATTCCCTTTCCTGCCTTTAGCTCTATTTTCTGTTTAGGGGATGGCTTGTTTACCCTCACCTTTGTTCTTAATGTTCTTGTGTATTTCCCCAGCTTTTTATTCTTTGATTAAAAAAACGGCCACGCGAGGCAAAATTCGTTCGTTAATATATTGGTCATTATTTGGTGTCCCAGCAAAAAGAGCTCACTTAAACTAAGATTCCATAAACATCAGCGTGTTGTTCACATTTCGCATCCTTCCTACCTCTGCCCTATAAACTAACAAGACTAGCCACAATCTTTACCCTCGCAGAGCCGTGGCAAGCCTTTAGAAACTAGTGGGGCACAAAGATTTTAGGTAGCTCATAGTCATTGTATTTGAAAAGCAGAGGGTTTTGGGTCCGGAGGACCCATTGGACTGGTCTCTGTATCTTAAAACCAGAAAATGTTTCACCTAGCTGCACAGACATCATTGTGTGCTCTGGGAGATGAATTTTTATTTTCAACTTTTATGCGTAGTCTACATGTTTTGACTTTTTGAGGCAAAAAAACTGGAGGTGGGGTACACGGCCACCCCTCCCTCCCTCCCAGCTCCATCTCGTTACCATCATTATCATCATAAGTGATTTGCAATTTTTATCATTCATTTCCTTGTAAAGATGTTAATGCCAAAGATACATTCGGCAAGACGCCGCTGCATAATGCTATTCTTGGCAAACACGTGACCATTGTGGACCTACTGCTCAAATCAGGAGCTGATGTGAAGTGTTTGGACGAGCGCGGTGACACGCCACTGCACAATGCTGTTAGAGTGGACAGTGAAGCCATTGTGGTGGTGAGCTTTTAAACAACCTAGTTCTCAGGGCTTTCACTCCTTATTACTGAGAGAAAAGTCCTGGGAACCAGTTTGCTTTTTATACTTCTTAAACACCCGGACGTTTTCTCTCACTGTTAGTCTATTATACAAACATCTTCGTATAATCCTCGGAAAACTTTGGAAATCTTCTGGAAATGAACGGAAGCACTTGTGTTATCTTCAAACTGTATCTCCAAAACCTCTTTGTAAAAAATGGCTAGAAACATGAAAAAGCTTGAAGGGACCCTTTCCAGCGTAGTAATTCACGTGGTACGACTGCGCCATGCTGGAGAGCAATACAAGACACGCAATGGGAGAAGACAAACAAAGGAAATTACAATTTTAAATGATATGAGCTCTTTGCTTGTCTTCACTATCAGTGCATCACCTGCACTATCAGTGTACCACGTGACTTACTACGTGCAAATAACATATTGTTTAAGATACAATGCCCTGCAATTAACAATTTTGAGGTTGTGTTTGATCGACTGGGTCAATGTAGTGCCAAATTGCTCTTTTAAACTGTTTAAGGAGACGAACCTCGACCCAAATTTATCCTGCGCAACTTCGCAATAGCCAGTAAAAGAAGTGCTGTTATCCCCACAACAGTCCCACAGTGCATTTCGACACAACAGCGATCCAGTCCCACGCCCAAAATCAAACTGGCCAATAGTATATCCAGTAGAACGGAGACTGTGAAACGATAAACAGAAAATCCAATGAATGCGCCCTGTTGTCTGCGCTGCTTATAGCTCAAGGAGTAATTCTATTTATTATTTTTTCTTTGCACAGCTGCTTCTAAATGACAGTAAAAGTAATTCAAATGCTAAGGGATTTGGCTCGTACACACCTCTACACATTGCTGCCCAAATTGATAGCGTGGATATTTGCAAGCAACTGGTAAGTAAAAGACATACATTCCTCTCCCTTCAGATGGACACCTTCTAAAAAAAGGGACACTCTTGGTGAGGACAATTATCCAGGATCAAGTGTTTGTCACTTACGATAAGCCAACAAGAATTGTATCCAGTAAAATGGACCTATCGCTGACTCATTGATGTCGTAGCTTTAACTTATCGCATGCGACAAAGTTGTACGGTCCTGTTACCTCTCAGATCCTAACAAAGGCACTGGCGACGAACGAAAGTACCGAAAATGGTGGATCCTAGTAGGACGCTATCTGCGTTTTAAAGCTGAATTTTCGATCACTTGTCCTTCTTAAAGGGATACTCCTTGATCAAATTTCTATACTTGACTGCTCTTCTCAAGGGCCGGCCCCAGCACTACTCAGGCTGACTACTGTATTTCCTTATAAGCTAAACCATACAGTTGAACAAGCGCAGCTACTATTAACAGTCCAGATATCCAGACTTTTCACACCGTTTTCACACGACGTCACGATGGCCATATTAGGGCCCCGAAACAATTTAAAGGGTTAGACCTAATAGATAAAAGTTGCTAACATTTAAGGCGAACCTTTAATGCAGTGTCTCTTTTCTTAGGTTGAGCACGAAGGTGATATCAGTCAGAGAGCTGAAGATAAGATGACGCCATTTGGTATGGCAGTATCCAAGGGAGCACAATCTGTTGCTGAATACTTTGTCAGTATTTGTAAGTGTCCTAATATCACGTGATCATGATTTTCCCGCCATTTTTAATCCTTGCCGCCTGGCGTTAGACAAATCTAACGCGGAATTGGGCCTTGTGGTAATCTATGAGTGACTAGCAAAATGCTGATGCTACAACGCATGCGTAACTAGCGTTTTTCAGTTTGTAGAGTGGAGGCCTCCCCTATTAACTTTCAACTACTTGATAATTTATTTCTTTGTTTCTCTCAGTGGACGAAAAACAACTTGACAAAGACAATCTCCTTTGTAATGCTGATAATGAAGGAAGCACCTTGCTACATCTAGCAGTGGACAGCGGAATTCCACAGGTAAGTGCATGCGCAGCTTTAGAGTACTGTGTCATGGCTACCTGGTTCATTTTTCTAACAATGCCAATCACGCGTCCTAATTCGCTGTGGAACTTGAGAAATCGAAATTACTTGTGAATGACAAAATAACAGCTTCGTGTCAAACAAGTATGTCTCATAAGCCTTGTATCCAACGCTGTAGACAACAAAAATGAACTTTGAGAAACTGTTAGGCTCGCGCCACAGCTCCTTAGGCACCTGAAACTATACTATTTCTTTCAGTTGATCTCATCAGCCTAAACCGGCCCTCCCTGAAAGGAAACAAAATTGTCTTCTTTCAACTGAGAGTTCGCATGGTCTAACATATCGTCGATGAAGTAAAACTGGATCTTTTATAAATGTAAAACGTGTATTAACTGAGAATTCTTTTTCCTCAGATCGTGTCACTGTGCCTGCAAATTGGAGCAAATGTGCGTCAAACGAAGGTAGTTGCCAATTACATCAAACACTATCTTATCAGTTTAGCTTTTCCTCATCTCAGGAATTCGACTGTAACAACTGAAAGCTCTGTAATATGACTTATATTGTCGCGGCGTTACTGTGATCCCTTCCACGAAGAGAAGAATATTTAAACAAAATTGGAAGTGCGTCCCTCACAAACGTCTTTGCTTAAGCTCGCTAAAACAGGGCTGTTTGAACACAAAAATATATCCACTTTTGTAGGAGGCGGACAACAGTACAGCGATTCATCTGGCGGGCACACAAGGCTCACTGGAGATAGTTCAGCTGCTGGTCGGAGCAGACCGTGGTGTGTGTAAAGAAGAGATACTAGATGAGCAAGGAATGGTACCCCTACACCGGGCAGCGCTGAACAATCACGCGACTGTTGTCAGCTACTTGGTAGATCAGGTATGACGTGTATTTTGTCTCTATATGACCGACGGACTGCAAACCAGCTCGCATTTTGGCGTTGGTCAAAAACGCGTTAGCAGTCAATCAAAAGGTCGAGGGTGAAAAGGAATGAGTTACAATAAAGAATAATCCCGAGCATTTGTTAAAAATGTGGTACCATCCGTGGTATAAAATTCACAGCTACAAGGTGAAGCGTATGAGGTCCACTGGCTACCATTCTTTCTTGCTATCATTTCTATAACGTAAAGTCGACCTAAGTGACTGTAAGACCAGCTACAGTTGGATGTGGAAAGGTCTTGATCTTCCACTCAACCTCCCCCCCTCCCCGTCCCCGCCAATTTAACACATCTTACAACAAACGACAATTCTTTCCATTATTGTAGCGACCACCAGGTGGTCCATACGAGTACGAAGTCCGACAGTACTAAAGAAGACGAGGGTATGTAAGTGTAAGTTCCCTCTCTTTTCAGGGAGCTCCGGTGGATCCCCGAGACATTCAAGGTCGCACCCCCCTTTTCTTAGCTGCGTCAGCTGGTGGAACAGCTACTGTTCAATTGCTAATGGACCGGGGGGCCGATGTAACACTTAAAGATGTGGAATTGCGCTCACCCTTGCACGTAGCAATTGCGGATGGAAATTCGTCCACCATGGAAGCCTTACTCAAGGTAATACGTTTGGTAATTAAGCAAAAAAATGGTTACTTGCTTGTTTAACCGCCTCCCGGTTAGCTCAGTTGGAGATTCGCGCCATGATTTCAGATCTTCTGTCAGTTCAGATGTTCGTGGCATTGGGCGGTAACGTTAGGCTGTTTGTGCCAATCCTTGCGCCTTAATCCTCATGAGTAAACAGCAATTTCAGCCAGAAGAGGCAATTTACGTTCTTTGTTTTCAAAGCATATGTGTGCGGCCTCATAAACAAGCCCGCGGGCTGACCGGCGCTATGCTTTTGCTGAGAACATAGTTGGGAAAAACGTTTCCTAGAATCGCCTGATTCGCTCCTAGGATCTGGAGAACTAGCGCTCAAACCATCATCATTGAATTTGTTTACAATGACATATTTGCTTACCAGATCATTTATAGCTACATTATTTTCATCTGTTGTCTTTACTTATAGAGTCCTGCAGCGAAGGCGTTGGTGGTTGATAAGGACATTACTGGATACACCCCAGTGCATTACGCCGCACGGGCTGGTTACTTGCAGGTAAATGTCGTTATTATAAAGGTCAGGTATTTCTAAAATTCCATTTCATATCCCAAAAAGCAACGCGCTACTGGGATCTCAGAGCTCTCGCAACCAATATCCTCACGACCTAACTATCAGACGATCAATAACATGGAGAATTAAATTGTCCAATCAGGTAACTAACTAGTCGAAAATACAGCAATTGACTATACACAAATTACTCTGGTGACTCTAACGTTGACTTACTCGCAAACGTCATTAACTGAAAAACAGTCCTTTTCTGGACTACACACACGGACAATCATAATCAACCTATTAATTTAAAGGGACTGTGTCACGGCAGTCCAGTTCATTTTGTTTAATTTTGCCAATTACTCGCCCTCAATCGCAATGGAACTTAAAGTAAGCAAAGAAATTACAGGTAAATGACAAAATCAGAGATCCGAGACAAACAAATATGTCTCCTGAGCATTATTATTGAAGTTGCAAGCAGCAGGGATCAACTTTGAAAAGCTGTTAGGCTGAACAGTTTTCAAAAACCCTAATCTCAATCCGTTTCAATCTTCTTCAGTTTTGCCCATCCGTGGCATCTGTTGTATCTGTTATGCTATTTTAACCTTCTTTTAAAGTTTTAAGCTGTTATTTTTATGTTTCTCTTAATTTTACGGGCATTTTGTAATTTCCTAATTTGGCTGAATTTCGTGACACAGCTCCTTTAATAATTGTTGTTTCTCTATCTGCAGCACATCGCTCTCTTCATCAACAAGAACAAGGCGGCTCGTCAAGTGACGTCAGACTCACTGGATACCCCTCTTCACATCGTTGCTCGGTACGTTTTGCGGACCTACGAGAAAGTCTAGGCGGATACCTTATTACAGCAAATCAAACGCTTCATGACAACGTGAACTTTAATTTAAGTCGTATCAATTTATGTAAACGTTAATTTCCGCGCCATTAGTAAAGTGGAGAGGTAATCATCGCGGCTTTAATGTCTATTATTTTGGCCTCTAATTCTTGATACACTTTTGACAGTCTTGACCTTATGAAAGAGGAGTACAGTGTTTTATATCCTGAAATGGTCTATGCAAACGCGCTCTTTTAAGGAATTTGTTGTCGAACTTAAATCAGTGTTTGCTTTTTTCAGGTATGGTTGGCTGCAGATTGCTGAAGTATTACTGGAGAAGAGAAATGTCCGAATAATCAATTTACAAAATAATCAGGGAAAAACTCCCCTTCATTACGCTTGTCACGAAGGGCATGAGCATATAACCAAGCTTCTGTTGATGGAGGGCGCTACGCTTGAAAGGTGATATAAAGATGACTACCTTGCAAAACTGTGCCATGTTACCCGCAAATGTTGACCGATTCACTTCCATAAATTTGTAAAAAAGGAAGTTTTTCTTCATGCACTATATAACAAACCACTTAACGACTGATCTCGCGCGAAACAAGTTTAATTTATTGTCCTCGAAACTCACCAATGAGGTGCTCGAGAAACAAACTAAACTCTCTCCCACTGACCAGTCATTCAATGGTGAATATGACATGGTTTTTCGCGTGACAGTGGCCCTTCATTAGTCCGGCTATCTTGTTCTGAGTATTAGTATAGGTAATAGCATGATTTGTAGTGATATTTGGCATAAATACCACGAGTGATATTTCGAAATTGTTATACGTAATTTCACGAGCCGTTAGGCGAGTGAAATTTGAGACAATTTTGAAATATCACAAGTGGTATTTATGCCAAATATCACGTACAAATCGTGTTATTATTTGTTTATACTACTACTCTCAAAAGGTTGGTAATTTTCACGAGTAGGTATTTCAAATTAAGCTGAAATACCACTGCTCTAAGCCAATCAAATTGCAGAAATTTCTCATGTAGTAGTATAAGCTTTATAATAAAAACCATGTAATTTGACTAATTTCTCTCGTCAATTTATTATCAGAGATCATCATGACCGCACTCCACTTCACATGGCTGCAGTCAATGGCTCCGAGCGCTGTGTGGAGTACATACTGCAGGCTCACCCTGAGAGTCTCAACGCTCTTGATAAACATCAGGTGCAGTGTAATGAAACTGACTATAGGTTCTATTAATTGGTTGCATCCGAAAAGCGTATTCCTAATGGAGTCTCTCGCAGCGCTTCTCTCTGTTTTTGACGTTTTTGAGCTGCCCCCACTCCTCTCAGTTTTTTTTCCCAGGGGCTCTCTCTCCGACGGGAACTGGTATCTATTTTGAACTTCTCTAACTCATGGTCATGATCGTGCAGTCAAATCACTTCCCTACTCCCCCTGCCTGTCTGACGCACTTGCGGATCAATTAAGGTTTTCTGGGAAACTGCCCACTTACCCCTCCCCTAAGCCATCATTTTGCCCTAAGTGAGGAGTAATTGTTAATGTTAGCTTAGGGGTGGGGGAGGGGGGCAGTTTCTCAGAAAACTAAATTTATCCGCACTTGCTATAGCCCACGCTCGATATTTTAAAATTCTAACATGACTCCGAGGCTTTAGGGTGACTAGAAAAGAGTTTTTTAAAAAACAAAATCATCTAGCTGAAGGCATATTGTCAGGATGGCCGAGCGGTCTAAGGCGCTGCGTTCAGGTCGCAGTCTACTCTTGTAGGCGTGGGTTCGAATCCCACTTCTGACACGTTCACATTTTTGAAACTCTATCTTTTTGTTTTTGTTTTTGATGTTGTGATGGTTGTTGTTGTTGTTGTTGTTTTATTAAAATCTGGTAAAATCGTTCAAAGGTTAAAGGAATCGAAAAAGACTTCTTTCGTCGTTACACAGGCAAAACGTTCAGCCGTTAAACTTTCGTTTCACGAGGACTTACGGTATTCTGCTTATCCTTGCCATTCTAAATAGAATGTTTATGCTGTCACTCTTGTGTCAGGATGGCCGAGCGGTCTAAGGCGCTGCGTTCAGGTCGCAGTCTACTCTTGTAGGCGTGGGTTCGAATCCCACCTCTGACATTCTTTTATAAAAATGGTTGAAACTCTATTGATATATATATTTTTTTCTATTCAGAACACGGCCCTGAACTTGGCTGCAACTACTGGCCAGGCATCTCTCGTGTCATATCTGCTGTCCGTAAAAGAACAAGAAATCCTGTTAAACAAGTATAACCAGAATGTGCTGGACCTTGCCATATCCAACGACAAAGAAGAGGTTGCGATGGCCATAATTGAACATAGCAGGTTGGTACTAAATGATTTCTCGAGGCGCGCAAGGAAGAGCTGTTTGTAAAGATACAGCCTTTGGCGGAGACAACCTCGAAGTCACGACACGCGAGGTAGACACGCGTGAATCCTTCGTGCGGCTTGAATTTGAAATGCGCTTACTATGCAGGCTATTATTCGAAGTGCTTTTGCTAGTCATGTCTGCAAATGGGACTAATAAATAACGTGGTTACCAAGCTGCATACCATAATTTTTTACAGCGGAGCACCATGGAAGAAACTTTGGTTATCATTGTATCCAAGAAATTTTGATTTGGACAAAATTGTCCGTACTTACTTCCGCCCCTTCATGTTAGAGGATGTGTTATGTCTTACTTACTAGATTTAAAGTCTAAGGTATATACATACTGTGTTTAACTTACTATTAAATGGACATGCATGTTATGATCGTTGACAGCTGTCATAATAGGGTATCCGCTGACCAATATCACATGACTGTACGGCGAGCTCATTGAGGTGACGTATTTTTGAGTTATCCGCTTATTACTTTTCAATTGAACTAGGCAGAAGTCCATTTTTAAAGGAGGGTTTCAGTTGGCTTCTTGCTTACGGCAAAAGTTGAATTACTTAAGAAATAAGTTTCTTAACAAATCCGTCGAGAGCTTCGCTTTTGGTCTTAGCTGGATATCTGGTTACTGTGAATAACTAAGTATTCTATCTGTCCTAAATTATAGGTGGAAAGAGGTGATTGACACCACTGAAGGTGGAGGTGTATCTCAGATTCAGACACTTGTGGCAAAAATGCCTGACGTAGCAGAGGTATGTACACTTCATTCTCAAACTCACCAATAATTCATGAAACGAAATTAAGAAACTGTCACCACGTGAGTCCCGAGGGAACTCCCATATCAAAGATACCGGGATGCTCGTCGGAGAGTTAGCCGGCTCCATTAAATCCCATACCAACTGTAGAACATTTTATTTAATATGTAACAATTAGCAATTATTGGACGAGGTTGAGCAAAATATCGTGATCAGCAGATCAGTTATTCGGCTTCGGCAAGTAATTGCGATAACCGAGTTCAATAATTGTTTTACCATTCGATCACCGAGTTTGTTTCTTTGATGAATATCCTCGGGAAGCGAAGCGATCTGCCATTTTCACGCCAGAGAGATCGCAAGAAGGAGAAAAGCACGGTTTCCTTAACGCATGTGCAGAATATTATTTGCAGCCAAACACAGTTGGACGGCATTGCGCATGAGCACACCATTATTTGTAAGCAGTTATTTGAAGAAACAGTTGCATCGAATGATAATACATTTTGCTGCCTACTTTTACGCGGTGAGCGTCGCGTTTGGGACACAATGTGCATTGCCGTATCTTATAATCCTTCTTTTAACTGTCTTCATTGCTTTCTTTTGAAATTACTCACTGGCTGACTTTTTTTCTCCAGCGCGTTTTAGACAATTGCGTTGAACAAGATGGAGATCCAAGTAGTAAAGATTTCAAGGCAAGATACTGAAACAGTGCTCTTTTACTTTAGTCGTTTTACATTATTCATAAGTGTTTTATTACCCTCACCTCCACAAAAATTCTCCTTTCTCCCGTTTAGTCCACCACACTATTTGATGTACATGTACAAAATGATAGCAATGATAGCAATGATGAGAAGCTTAATGTATCGAGCTTTCCTTGTTTCCAATTCGAATAATGGATTGACGGCTCTTTATTTGTTAGGTAACATACGATTTAAGGCTAATACAAGGGAAGCAGAGCACGACAAGTTCATTGGAACACTCTCTTGACGCGCTTAAGGTATGAAATTCCAAGTTCTTGCTTGAAATCTGTATGATTGCGTTAAAAAGTAATTTTCAGCTAATTCGTCAGGATGGCCGAGCGGTCTAAGGCGCTGCGTTCAGGTCGCAGTCTACTCTTGTAGGCGTGGGTTCGAATCCCACTTCTGACATTATTTTATATCATAATATTACTTTTTTATATTATTATTTTTTCATTCTCCTGCAAGTGTTCTACATTTTTTCTGGTTTTGTGTTCATTCTTATGTTTTTCCGCAATAGCCCACGTTCGATAAATTAAAATTCTAACATGACTCCGAGGCTTTAGAGTCAAAATTGCAAATTTTTCACGACTCCATTGTCTCGCAATTCCCAAAAGAGAATTATAAGCACAAAGAAACCCAAACCAAACATAGAGAAATGACCAGAAGCCTCGGAGTCTTGATAGAATTTTAATATATCGAACGTGGGCTATTCGTGATCACTGTCCGTAAGTATTGTGGTGGTGACATGTGCTATTTTTGGAGACGCAGTTGACTAGAAAAGAGTTTTTTAAAGAACAAAATCAATAAGATGAAAGCATGTTGTCAGGATGGCCGAGCGGTCTAAGGCGCTGCGTTCAGGTCGCAGTCTACTCTTGTAGGCGTGGGTTCGAATCCCACTTCTGACATTATTTTATGCCTTGCAAGTGTTCTATATTTTTCTGGTTTTGTTGTCGTTCTTATTTTTCCCTTTTTTTGATTTGTTCCATGTCTGTTCTTCTTCTTAAGACCATGGCAGAACGACGGCGGGAAAAATGTTTGACTCACCCTGTGTGCTACGTCCTCATGAATATTAAATGGTTAGTTTCTCTGTTCTTCCTGGGTTTTATATGTTATCCATTTTCTGTCAGCGTGCTCCGGGTTTGTTTTCTCGTTTTGATTGGCCAAAAAAAATTCGCGCCACCTTCTTAGCCAATCATAGATAACTTAACAAGCAATCCTGAGGTGGGCGCTCATGTTTTCCCGCGCTGAAAGAGGCAGCTCAGATAAGTTGATTGTGATTGGCTAAGAAACTGCTCAAGATATAATTTGGGCACTGGACTGGAACGAGATAGGATGAGGGATTTGTATCTTCAGATTGAAAGAAAAATAATAGAATATCTGTTTATTTTTTTCTGTTGTAGGAAAAAATTTGGATGGATAACCTTTATCGTCAACTTGTTGCTTTATTTGGCGTTTCTTCTTCCTTTTACTGCGCTGGCTGTTAACCTCAAGATCAACATTTGTGTCCTGTGCAATTATAGCTTCTGTAACAAGACACCTGCAATTCCCAATGGCCAGTTAGTAAGTCAAAGTGCCAAATACAAACAACAAAAATGAACTTTGAAAAACTGTTCGGCTAACAGACCTAACAAGTTTTCAAAAACCACAATTGCAGTCCGTTTCAATCTTCTTCATGTTTGTCCATACGTTCATGGCTTTTTATTTGCCATGTCATCTATACCTTTGTTTCGTGTTTTGAGCAGTGATTTTTCTGTTTCACTCAGGGGTTTCGGGGCAGATCCCGTTGTTTGAATTTTGATAAATTTCATGATACGGCCTGCTTCTTTAAAAAGATCTGCTTCGGCTCCAAAGGGCCAAATTAGCCTTGTAGGCACAATTGAGTCCAATGTGAATCACAACTGCCTTACAATTATGTATTCCAGCCCATAATGTTACACCCCAAAATATTACACTCCAAAAAACTACTCCCATTTTGGTTGCCAAAACAGGTTTTTTAATTTACTTTTTACATGGCTCGTCGTTTCGTTTACTAGATTTGCGCCCGATGACTTATGGGGTTTTTTCTGGTTCGTGATATCTCATTTCAGGCAACCCCGTGGTTTTGTTGTAGAGTAGAACAATAAGGGAAATTAAGTTTGTCCTTGTCACCTTAAAGAATATAAAAAAAAAACTGGAAAGAAAGGGGATTTGCGGAGAGCGACATCACTCTCCAGGCGTTTACTTTTTAAATTCAGTGAAAGGTTTGAGCCTAGGAGTCACTTCATATTAAAGCAGGTTGAGTATGATCGTCCGGGTGAACGTAGTGCTGAATAGGACTGTTGTTGTTGACAGTGACGGACGTTTCGACAACCTTTGCGGAAGTCATTTTCAGAGTCAAAGTCAAAAGTTACCGGCACCGTAAAAACGACGGAATCAAGCGAAACGAACTACGAGAGAACAACCGGACAACTGACAATTTGGCTAACAATAAATGGCTGTTTAACTGTGACAATAGACGGATCGAAACGCACCAATGACATTAAGAGTCTTCATAGCCAATAACGTCACGGCTTAACTGACAGGCGACCAATAACATCGCGACTTAATTGACCAATCAGGTCAACAACCAGAGTTTAATACCATCAACTGACGTGATACAAATCACTTTGACTCTGAAGATGACTTCCGCGCAGGTTGTCGAAACGTCAGTCACTGTCAACAACAACAGTCCTATTCAGGACAACGTTCACCCAGACGATCATACTCAACCTACTTTTTAAATTCCCTTGCTCAGTCTCCTTGTGTTTCACAAACTTTTGCGATGCCATAAATTGTGCCTCTGTGGAGAAAAGAGTTTTTCCGTATT